CGCCGATAAATCACTTCGAAACGTATAAATACATTGCCCAAGGTTGACGCTCACTTTTTGATGAGATTTGGTGCAGCGATAGAGCTGATAAAGCTGAATTCAATGATAGTCGGTTTTGTGGGTAGGCAGCTTATAGTTTTTGAGATAAATAGCCTCTATTAAAGTTGTTAACAAGAGGCTAGAAAGATGCGCTGGATTACGACGCGTGGCACCGCGCGGCTGGAGGTGGAGGCAAGCCGCCGCCCTAATCCCTAATATTTTCCCTATTCCCTAATATTTTTGTCCTTGTTAGATATGCATACGGTTGGACACGCGTCGTTTACACCTCAAAATAAATTGTTTTAGAAGTTGGGATATTTCTTTTCTCATTTTAACACGTTGAATGCCACGGGGGTCACCGGTGATCGGCACTTAACTTGGCGGTGACGCCATGGGGGCCACCGGTGACCGGCGTGCCCAAATTGATAGAAATATATATAATTTAAAAGAAATGTCAATATCTAAAATTTTGTATTATTACCATCGTCGATTCAAACAGTGATCCCTGTCGCAATTAACATGTCAAACATGGTTATACACTGTAACTTATCTATTGCAGATAATATTTCAACGTTATATGTATCGCATAAAAGAAAATTCATCGTGGCGCCACGAACAATTTCTGTAAAACCGGCGTGGTATTCAACGTGTTAAGACTACAAACGACAATGTAAAACACTAACAAAAAGTCGACTTTTTAAAAATTTCGAACCGTTCTGCCTCCTTAACGATTCCGTAATGTCAGGTTTTCATTAACCATGACGCGATTATTCTCACGATTAATCGGGGTTTAAGATTGAAATATTTCACCCAAGATCATTGTAAACAGTGTACAGGGTGTACAAAAATTATACGTCACAAAAAAAAAGTTTGGCTCTATGGCCTTGATTTTCAAGATCAAGGACGCTATTGCGGACCATTTTTTTAGCAAATCCCCACGGATCCAAAGGTGTAGAATCACGCTATGGTGGTCATGACATATAATTTTGTATACCCTGTACATACAACGGCAGATTTATGCATAGTACATACGTACATATGTATTGCACAGGGCATAGAGCATTGCCATCACTTTTACTTTCGAATCAACGTTCTATCCTTGGCCAGAATAATTATACCTCTTTTTTATTATTCGTAATTTTCTATTCAATATTGTGGTGGCATACGCCACCACCAATTTCAATGGCCTTGAAATATGTTATAATAGGCGATATTCTAAATAACTATTTCCTTTTCGAGCAACGTGTGCGTAAGGTGACAATCGCTGCTCATCCACTGCCTTCCTTCAAACACGATGATGTATCAGCAAGGAGTATGAATGTATAACGGATGAACTTCTTAGTTCGGATCAAATGTAAGACGTAATCAGAGATTTGAGACTGGTAGTGGTAACCTTGCAAGAAATATACTTTCAGAATTGATGTAAAGTACCGCCAAAATTAGTATTAACCAATATGTGCCATGAGGAGGTTGTTAGTCTAACAACACTATATCAGGGTTAGACCTGGCTTAGACCCAGATTAGGTGGAGAGAGCTAACCCTGTTAGTTGCTACCTCCCCCCCTCAATCTAACCCAAATCTAACTCTGTGAAGGAAATTAGTTAGTAACTAATACGGTTAGGCCTCCTAGATTTGATCCGAACTAAAAAGTTTACCCGTTACATATGTTTGAAAGAAAACAGTGGATGAACGGCGGCTGTCGGCTTACGCCCACAGTGCCGCGATATGCACGTGTCGACAGAATTCAATGCAGTACTAGCAACAATTTTTCTTTATTTCAAATGGTGGTGTGGTGTATGCTTTCGACAACTTCACAAAATATTTTTTATCTTTCACTCGTTATATTCGAAATTTTCATTTAGATAAACATTTTGCCCAACTCTGGTGTTCGTATACTTATGGCCTGAATCACTACGTTCAACAGCTTGGATCAGCTTCGATAAAACGTGCACAGTCATAAAATAACTTCCGAATCGACTGGTAGCACTATCTCCCGCTTTATCGCTGGATGAATCGATGCAAAAGGAGCTGGTGATGTCGTTTCGTTATGAAGTCAAAACCTGTCTGTGATCATCCGAACACGACATTCCTGGAACAACACGGCATGCGTCGGTACCGGAAGTATTCTTTAATAAGAAAACAACCAGTCGGAGTACCGCTATTGCAAGGTATTTGTATCCGTTGATTAAGATGGAATTAACCGCATAAACTGAATGCAATACTGGAATGGTGTTCCAAATGGCGGGAACTGGAAATGCGTCCCTTATGGGAGATTATAGAAGATAAATATGTAGATAGCGATAGTGTACGATTATTAGTCTTTTGGATTTCTTCACCGTTCCACATGAATTCTTTTTACTAGGTCTAGCAAGCACTTCTCTAACCATCCGTTATGGTTTCAATAATATTATAACACGATTTACAATGACGAAATAGAGCGGGATATAATTATATCGGAGTAAAGATATCATGAAATAAATTGATAATCAAATATTTATACGTATAATTAGAAGCTTATGTTTCCTCTATTTGTGTTGCAAGGGCAAAAATTATGACGCCTTAACGACTGAATGGTTTATAGATATAGATTGAAAGTATCTGCAGAATTTTGCAAATTTCATTGTGAATGTAACTGTCGTTTAAAGTTGTGTCTTAGTACGTATTCAAGATGAACCGAATGACTCACAATTAGTAATGAATCCTCTTGTTGTAATTTAGTTCTGTCTTCGCCTTGTTATGTGGCATAAAACTACTTCACGACCCCGGATGGAATCATTGAATTTGTTAAGTATAGTGGTCGCCGGTTATAATTACTCAAATTAGAGAGAGAGACTGCCCAGGTCAATAATCAGCGTAGACGACACTACCAAATAAATTAAAATACGTTTGGTGAATTGTCATTACAAAATTTTCTAGAATTTTAGATGTTCTCTGATATTTTAACATTACACTATATGATAATAGAATGCGATTTCTGTTTATTTGTAGGTATGATTAAAAAATGGAGATCTTAATGATCGTTAAATACAAATTTTGTAAATCAACGTAATGAAATTTTTGATACAAGAATCGAATATTTTCTCCTCATTTTTGTAAAATTTAACATTAAATAATAATAAAAAGAACAGAGAATTGTCGTAGAGAGAATAAAAATTGAGAAACAAGCTTGTTTATATTATTTAAATGTTCCCAAATTAATTTTGTATATTGATTTGTTCAACGATATGAACCAAGTTATAAAAGTGATAGTACTTTTATCGACGTCACAGTTATCACAGTAGATAAATATAGTGATTGGCTTTTATTTGCTTTTCAGCGATAGAATATTTTCCTAGAACTCTGTAGTGGCGATCATACACGATGCGATTATGATCGATTTAACTGGCTACTTGCACTTTCGAATTCGTCTTCCGGTTATAAGGTTGTCCCAAACATGTCTCGTAATACGGAAATAGGAAGTAGCTGAGGTGATTTGAAGTAACTTTTTCCTTAGCGAAAATGCAATCTGTGGCTTTGTTTACGAGTTAGCAAGGCAATCACCTAATAACGTTTACAATGTGTTCTGCATTTTACGATCCATACGGTGGTGCTCTTGTTTGTATACGTAATACGTATTGTCGAAAGTTCACACAGTCACCGATTTCAATGGCTTCGAAATATGTTATAGAAGTCCGGTACACAGTTGCTTACACATACGAGACGCCAAGAAATTTGCATTTCGCATGGACTTCTGTATGTATGCCCCCTCACACTTTTAACGCAGACCTAATCATGACCTAAACCAGAGCTAGACCTGATTCGTATGGGTTCGTTTATGAAATTGAGCTGAGTTAGGTCTGAGTTTAAAAAGCGAGGAACAGGGAGAAAGGACCAGCCATGCGAAATGCGAATTTCTTGCCGTCTCGAATAAGCAACTGTGTAAGAGATCTTTATTGCCCGTCTGTCACCGCGATCTATAAGCAGAATACAACGTAGTAGCAGTTTTTTAATAGCAACGGAGCCAAACTCAGATGTAGAACTATTTTTATAAATATCTCGGAAACGGAGGCAGTGCGACGAGTAACATGTAATGTGGGCAAGAGTTGAGAACGATGACCTGGACAACATATTTCAAGATCATAAAAATCGGTATATCATAAAACTCTTTTCTAAATAATTACTGACAACAACTAAGAATAATGAAAAAATTCACGAATTTTCTACTCAATGGAACACAACACTCCGAATTTCTTCACAATTTTTAATTGCAAAATCAATGTTTCTAAAAATTTGGAAACTTGAAAATGCTGATTTTATATTGAAGCTATCAAGGCACCACATTTATATTTTTACAACAGTAGCGTACATTATAATATGTTAATTTTGCAAATCTGTAAAAAAAAGCGTTAACCTTTTTTCATGAAATCATAAATGAACTTAGCGGTGAAATTGAGCTTTTGGGTGAGTACAGTAGAAATATGAGAATATCTAACGAAAATAAGATTAATTGAAAAAAATGTTTTCTCACTACTTTTTTCTTCTTTTTCTCTATTTTATTTCATCTTTAATGTCGCCTCGACCTTCGGATCATTAGCAACATCTTGATGCTATTTTCTTTCTTTCTAGCAATTATATTTTCTGACAGATGTTGATTTCCATTAGGAAGTTCAAAGTATTTTCTACGTGTTTCTGTGCAACTGTTATTGACAAATACGATTTTCTTCTAGCAGGGTATTATTGAAAAATTTGAAAATATTATTGAGATTCTAAAATCATCGAATAATTGAACGGAAATTATATATTTTGAAACGAATGAACCGAAATCAATCATTTTACTCATTTGATCACGTATTAATATAAAAATTGCAAAAGATCTGAGTAATTTGGTTAATTATTTGTATAAGGCAACACGTAGCAATAAATTTTAATGCTCGGTACGGTTAGTGTTAAACGATACTGAAAATAGATTGTAGTCTACTTACGTTATCATTTTGGAGCAGACTGTAGGAATGGTTTGAAGGTCCAGGACTGGGTGATGTTAGTTCCGAAAGTTTGCTGGGGGACAATTTCTCGCTGTTTCCGCCTTCCGCACCGTCGCTACTTCCACTGCCACTGCAAGTACACCATTAATTGAATTGTTTTCCCGTCAACTATACCTGCCGATAAATAACATCAATAACTGCAAAACAATGCACTTCCTCAGATTCTCGGCTCGTACCTTAGATAACGTTCACACGATGGAATTTATACATGTATGTTTTCAGAGGGAAACAACAAACAGGGCGCGCTGACCATTTCAACGACAGAGACTTAACTAAGACTAAATATTACCGTATTCTTGAAAAACAGGTACGGATACCGATTATTTGCGCGGCCTGAAAATTTATTTTCCTACGACATTTATCGGAAATATTTATTTATAGAATTATTTATTAACAAGCTAATGGTTTCTATTCATTATCGTACGTACCGTTGAAATTTAAACAAGATAAAATGAAATACTATGGAATACTATGAATAGATAGATGACTTAAAGTATATGTGTTTCGAATTGTCAAGATGAATTATTATGTCATTGAAATAGCACAATGTTCGCAGTTATTGTAGTACCGAAATCGCGAAACTAATAACATATATGTAAACGATATGTAACGACACCAAGCACCAGACATATCGACAAAATGGGATTTCCTTACATGGGAATCAATAACATATTTATTAACTAAATGTTGCAATCTAGATTGTAATCTTGCAATATAAAGTGGATTTATGTTTATATATTACATTCCACCTTCAAAAGTTTAAAGCCGTTCGAGTAATTAAAGACAATACCGTGTAAGATATTTTGCAGTCACAATTACAAATCTATGTACACATATTGTCGGAACTTAACGTGTGAAATCTTGAACCACATGGCTTGAGACGACCAGCGCTACAATCACAAATGTATAAACTGGTGAACTAGTGTTTTTGCGTTTAGGACGTTTGACAACTGAAATTTTTTATTCTAAAACTATTAAGCATATTTAAAAAATGAGGCAAGTAGATAGATGGGAATCTAGAACTAGAAAATGTTCTGATTATTCGTTTTTTCGACAGGAAAATTGCATTGCACACATACACAGTTTTACTCGAGAAATCGAATGGTGTCAATTTTGTGAGAAAATAACGTAGAGGTTGTATATTTTATAAATAATATTTTAGCGGCGCGTCTTTTTTATACATATACATATATACAGTTAGGTGTGAAAGTGTTCGTGCCAAAGAATTAAATTGATTTACTCAATTATTTGGTTATTGAAATACGTGTATTATTGTTCTTCTAATAGCGTGCTTTTGTAAAATAATTACATGTATTACAAGTAAAGTAAAGTGCCCGAAATTTCCATAAAGCTACCTGAGGCTTTAGTGAAATCTTATATGCGATTACAGTCATAGATATGATATTCGACGGATTGGTGTTTTTTATTGGTTCTGAATGCAGACCAAATCAATGAGCCACAACCGAAATTGTAACTCATTGGAACGTTGGTTTCTTTTCTTAAGTCGTACCAGTACTGTGCCTGAAAATTCCATAGAGCCACCTTATATTGGGGTGTAACCTTATAATTATTCCATAGCATGTCGGGTAATGATTTATATAAATTATAATTTATAAGAGAATGCTATCTTTCGAAACAGTATGCGAACACGTTTTCATCTATAGAAAAAAATCGAATACATTAAAAATAGAAAAATCGAACATTAGGATATTGAAACTTCAATATTTTAAATCCATTCGTCAAGATAATTTTAGTTTACCTGGAGCGAGTGAAAAATCATTGCCGCAAATGAAGAAAAAATGTGCTTCAAGTTTTAATTTTCAGAAGTACGTTTTTAAGAAAATAAATATGAAACATGATTGGTTATATACACATGACTATGAAAAATTTCACGCGTTTATCTATTCGAAAGCATTTTTATTTACAGCACACATTAGCAACGGAAGATTTTCATTTTCATTTCATCGGTAGTGTACAATATTTAAAATGAAACACGCTACATTGCTTTTGGTAAATTGAGAACAATTTAATGTAGTTAACGATTAACTCGAACACACACTAAGAAGCTGACTGAATTTCATAACGAAATCATGGGAATTTTCAAGATTTCCTTGGAATTCAATCTTATACATGTTGCCGTTTAAAAGTTCAATAGTTCAATATGTATGTTGTAATTGATAACGCCTTTTCACTATGAAAACTTTTGCCAAAGCCAATAACAAATAAGGAAATTTAACACTGGCTTTAGTACATGCCACCGTTAAATCGCTAGATTTTTTTGTACGTGTATCAGACGCAGAATTCGATAAAATCGACCATAATTTGGACTTGAATATCGAAGCCTTCGGCACAGGAAATACACACAGTCATTTAACGAGAGTCTTCATAAATCACACCTAGAGAGTTATTGTAAGGTAACAAAACCTGTAGCGCAGGAAATCAAATTCTGTTTAATCTGTTTCTCAACGAATTAATGGTCGACACGGCGAACTCGCCGAAATATTCGTAGTCCACTCACAATTGAATTCACGCGTTGGGCACAGCAATGTCTAAAAATCGGGTGACCAGCCGAACGATTCCGATAAACGCGCACTGGACGGTGGCCGATGGCATTCAGGATCCGATCTTTCCATCGATCGGTTTGGAAAACACCGAGCAGTTTCCTTACGTAAGCACGGTCGCGGACACGCACCGATGTCGTTTCGTTGTCTCGTTTCGTCCCGTGCCGTCGCGTTTCGTCTGGATTCGTTTCATACACTTCGTCCCGTGAACTTCGGCCCGACGAAAAAACGATCGCAGACAGCTCTTCTAGCTGGCGCGGATCGGCACTACCGGCGAGGCCATAGCTGCGCCAGGTATTATTAAAACCTAACAAGTACAAAGTGACTCGGTCGACCGGTTCGACGGTGCCACCCAGCATAGTATTTAACTCTTCTATAATATATGTTGAACGTAGCCGACGACACTCTTTCCGATCCCGTTGCTATGGCAACGTAGTCCTTGACCTCCAAGAAAGGGGTCATCTTTTTCATTCCAGCTGCTCCTTTTGCAACGGAGCAGCCGCGGACCTGGTCATTGTTGGGAGCTAGAGATGGAACGGAGAATCTGTATCGTACGCCGACCAACAATAAGGTAGCGTAACCCTATATTTTCCCATGATTCTCGATATTTGCTGCTGCGAAACGGGACGAATGTTTACAATCGTCGAGCAGGTAGAGAATACGGTATAGTATATGATGTGCTGTGCAAAATTTTGTACACGAGCTTTTGTGCTTTTTGGGAGGTCTTCGAGGTCGCTAAACACGAATACGACAGTCATTCTACGTGAGAATGGGAGATTATGAAAAGGATAGTATGGGAACGTTTGTGTTTTCGGGGGTACCTTTGGTCGCTGAGAGAATCGAGGTCATTTCTGGCATAAATAATTCATCGAATTCGAATCTTATCTACGTTTCTACTTGGGGAAGCTATCGAAAGCTTGGAAAGCATTCATCTTACTTGTTTCGTTTGTTTACTATTATTTTTATCTTGCGGACGTAATTGTGGATATAAGGAAAAACGTCGGAAGTAACCATTTAAACAAAATTAAGTTGATGCATTTAATTGAACTGTAGTATATAGCATTTACGTATCAGAAAAATCACGGAAACAAATACGAAAACAAGTTATGCAATTTGAAACACTGCTATTACCAAGCATTGGAGTGATCAGAGCATTAAGCAACAATATTTTAGAAGCGAAAACATGCGACATGCAGCGTTCTTTCTTGCAACTACAGATATATGTGCATAAAATCGATGCGTATGTACATTGTTATGCGAATTGTTGAACAATGTACACTCCTCGTCAAAAAGATAGCCCAGGAGTACGACAAAATGATCGGTAAATTTATATAACGGTGTGGCGTTATACTGGTATTTTCGTATTTCGGTTTCTACAGGGTGTCCAGGGATTTTCCTGCTAATCTGCGAGAATTTCCAAAAGAAGAAAGAATTGTTATATGTAGTTTGCGAATTGATTACTTCACGGAGTTTCAGTATACTGTTTTTAGTGTGCTCAACAACTGTGCTCGAGTAGAATTTAAAATTATAACAACTGAATGAATTTAACACTGCAGACGTTGCACGCAACTACTTAACTCTATGATTATGATGCAACTTATTATGAAAGTGTTCGTCGAAGGTATCCGGACTGCATATTTTTTTTTAAATGCGCGTATTTCGAGGGTAGTTTAGGTCTCCAAAATAAAAAATGATAGGCATTTTTCAAGGAAATAAGGTAAGTAATAAATTTGCAATTGCTATGATTTGATACCATAATTAAACTTATAGAAAGTCCTGCAAAAATTAGGAAAACTAATAAAGGAACCATGGATATAAAAGCATACGAAGATGTCTGGGAACCATATAGCACAGGCAAATTTAGGGAAAAATGGGTCCAATGTTGTAATGATTGATCGTACGAAGAATACATCGAACGAAATGATTTACATATTTGCTATAATTGCTAATGTTTCAAAATTGGAAACGATATAATCTTTAATTTTGTATTTTTTATTTTTCACTTTTGTATGTATCGGAACACTTACTTTATTTTTCTCATGTATTACTACAATGTACTTCATTAAATGTCTTGGATTCCTAATATTGAATTTATATCTTACTATCGACCTCGTGCTATTTCACAACCGACCCAGGATCGGGGACAGTTGTAACCTTTTTTATCCGCTACCTATATTTGATTAATAACTTAGATATTCCTTGATGTATAACAACAGCACTGTAACCGAATAATCTCAGAAAAGCAGGTAACAGGTTCGTAGAGTAATTGTCATTGTAAATGACAATAGTTATTTAATTTAGAAAAATAAAAAGTTTATGTTTTTTCACTTTTTTTATCTGAACCTGTAACGAAAATTTAAAAAATGTGTTTCCTTGACTCCGATAACTCATACGCAATTTGAACATTTAAAAAGCTGCAGATTTCCGACAGTTATTGGTCGAAAGTGTCAAAAATAGGGACAAAACTGCGATTCTCGCGATCTTTAATTGTTTACAGCTCGTATCAGGG